TGGAGGATAGAGGCTGTTGTTGTATTAAGGCTTGTGGTAATCTAGAAAAAAATATACAAAAATAAGGTAAGATAGAGAAGAGAGGAAAGAGACCAGAGAAAGTTTTGGCGGAGGGCAGTGAAAGTCAGTAAAAAGAAGACGAAAGAAAGGATCTAGTAACAGAAGGTTGTATCTGTCTATCAGTTTGTTTTTATCAATGTCTGAACACAGATAGGAGGCCTAGTGGTACAGTCGTTAAGAGCTCCGCGGCTAACCAAAAGGTCAGCAGTTCAAATCCACCAGCTGCTCCTTGGAAACCCTACAGGGCAGTTCTACTCTGTCCTGTAGGGGCACTATGAGTCGGAATTGACTCAACAGCAATAGGTTTCGGTTTTTTTTGAACACAGATATGTTGCATGTTAGCCTGTGGGGAACAAAGCCATGAGATTCTGATTTAGGCACTAATAGTAAAATTTCTCAGGGTTCTGTTGAGAACTGTTTTTAGTGGCATCTACTTGGTCATCTTTGAAGGCATTTAACGGTCGTCTCCACCTACCCACCTGCTCCTCTCCACCCTAGGATCCACAGAGAATGTCATAAAAAGGCTACCAAACAAAAACTGGGAGGTAAGTGTAAAAGGAGGGGAAGAAAAACATTTTGAGAAGTAAATAGAATTATGATAGCTAAAAAGGACATAGTGTTTCTTTTGGGATAGGAAAATGTTCTAAAATTGTGGTACTGGTTGCACAACTCCGTGAATACACTGAAAACCGCTGAGCTGCACACTTCAAATGAGTGAACTGTACAGTATGAGAATTATTTCTCAATAAATCTGTACCAAAAAAATAAATAGGACTATGGATCTAAAAATATCCTTCCAACACATTTTTTTAAATGTTTCCCTTGTTTCATGAAGAATCATGCTTAACATTTTTCCCCCTTCTAATAGAGGAACGGCACCTTATTTAATTTTATTTTTACATTTTATTAATTTATTATTTGGGAGAGTGACCAACCCAAATGAGATGAGAAGGTTCTCACCTTCAACGACTCTCTTATTGTGTTCCAGAACCCCTTATGCTAAATTATGCTAAATTATGCCTCACATGACTCCACCCTATCAAATAGAAAGTGTATCGTTGTGTTTTTACAGTGGCGAAGCTTCCTATATGTCTTAATAGCATCCTTAGGTATCCCTGTACTTTGTTAACCCCCATGTGACACAGTCCACAACTGCAGAAGGGCCAAGTGATACCAGCTCAGTTCATGAATTGCCATGGGAACTAGTGGGCAAACTAGTGAGCAGGCCTCTTCCTTTGCCAGAATTCAGATGAAGAAGCAGGAAAGGTAATAGAGGGGAAGGCAAAAGACACGTTTTATAAATTGTGTAGATATTAGCATCACTACCAATTCCTAATTTATTTTGACAACAGCAAAAATAAGTGGTGTCAGAGAGAATTCTCTCTCTATTTAATTTATATCTTTCATTACCATAAATTATCTGCTGAAACACCACTGGTCCACCATGCCCTATCACTGTTCACTATCCCCTCCACCCTAACCAGAGTCACAGAAAATTCACTGTTATGGACTGAATTATGTCCCCACCAAAAAAATATGTGTTGTAAATCCTAACCCCTATACTTGTGGAATGGAGCCCGGATGGCAGTTTGAATCCACCGGCTGCTCCTTGGAAACCCTATGGGGCAGTTCTACTCTGCTCTATACAGTCTCTGTGAGTTGGAACTTACTTGATGGCACCTAACAACAACAACAACATGCTTGTGGAGGAGCCCTGGTGGTGCAATGGTTAAGAGCTACGGCTGCTAACCAAAAGGCTGGCGTTTCTAATCCGCCAGCCACTCCTTGGAAACCCTATGAGACAGTTCTACTCTGTTCTATAGGGTTGCTATGTGTTGGAATTGACTTGAGGGCAGTGGGTTTTGTTTTTTTTGGTTTTATACTTGCGGATGCAATTCCACTTGGGACTAGGGTTTTCGCTGTTATGTTAGTGAACCATGGCAGTGTAGGGTTTGTTTTAAAGCTAATCACTGTTAAGGTAAGCAGAGATAGGAGAAGACAGACGCCAAGCCACATGAAAATCGCTAAGGAATTGAGGAATAGAAGCTAGAACCAGACAAGGACCTTCCCCCACGGCCAAGAGAAAGAAAAAGCCTTCCCCTAGAGCTGGTGGCCTGAATTTGAATGTCTAGCCTCTTAAACTATGAGAAACTAAATTTCTATTTGTTAAAACCACCCATTTGTGGTATTTCTGTTACAGCAGCACTAGATACTTTATCTTCATTTTACGCTACGACATGCACCAATAGAATTTCCTTCAAATAACTCAGATATTTTAACTCAAGATTCCTTTAGAAATCTGTTTCTTCCGAGCTCATAGAGTTAGCTCAACTATTTGTCCTTCTGAGATTCATCTTAAAATAACCTTATCTTAAAATCCAAAGAGGCACAACGCCAATAGAGAAATTAAAAAAAGTTTTATATAAATTGAATGAATGTTGTTTTTCCCTTTGATTTTATGCAACTGAACAGATTTGCAAGATGAATTATGAAACGCTCCTGAATATAAGTTTTTTTTGAAACAATAGTATAAGTTAAAAGCACCATAGTTATTTCTACTGTTAGTACATTAAGTATACTAGAGAGTCTTAGATACTTATCCTGGTGGTACAATAAATGGTGCTTGTGTTGCTTGATAACGCTCCACAGCCACGACTTCGACTAGCAAACTGCAAGGTGCGTGAAATATTGCCAGCTTTCAAACTACATGTGCTAACTTTGATTAGTCATTGATTCTAATTTTTTTTCTTCACCAGGGAGGCTGAGGAGTGGTAGAATGACTGACTTTCATTTCTTTTCCTTTTCCCATTGAGGTTATTGGTAAAATTGTCAGCTATAAAAAAGAATAGGAAAAATGAAAAGAAAAAATACAAGAAGCACTGCCTATAAAAACTTGTTGGGCGCCGTTGAGTCGGTTCTGACTTATGGCGCCCCTATGTACAACAGAATGAAACATTGCCTGGTCCTGCACCATCCTCATAAAGCTACTCAGCTATATTTACAATTGGGTATTATAAATTATTTATTAATCTTGAGTTCAAATATGTAATTTTAGACTGTGAAGTTAAGTCTTTTGATCTGATGTTCTGAAAACGAAAGGACCTCTTAAAGGGCTTTTGACAAATGACCAAACCACTATGAAGGACTGACAGATCATTCTTTTTCTATGAAATCTCAGTGCTCTTAAATTCCCAAATAAACCCCAAACTATAGAACATGAGCATGGCAACTAAGTGAATCTGAAAAACTGTCCGTGGGCTGAGAGCTGCAGGACGCAGGGATGCGTTTCCCCTCCACATCACCTTTCTTCCTCTTTCATTGCCCCTCTTCCCGGCACATTTTTATCGAGTTTGATCCTGTTTTAGCCTAAATTTACCCTTTTAACTAAAATGCATTTGCAAATATGTAAGAATAATACAGTAAATAATTTCTTTTAAAAACGTAATTTCATTTTAAGTTCTTAGAGAGCACATTTTCTCTTAAAAGAGTGGGTAAATTAATTCCTCTTCATTTTATACGAGGAAAATGAAGCTAGTTCAGTGCCACCGTCTGAAATATGGG